CGCTGGGGATTAGAAGTTGCTTGATCATCATGACTAAAAATAAAAAAACAAAGACGCGTTAATTAACTAAAATTTAAATTTTTCGCATAAACTTAAATACAAATTACACCTGTTCATATTATTTGTCAATATATCGTTTATCGCACCCTTGGGTATAGTTGGTGGGAATTTGACGGCCATTGGATCTTTTAGTACATTGGGCCTACTCCCTAGTCTAGTAATAATGGATGCATTACCAGAGGATAAGCGCGTATAAGAAATGGGAATATTATCAATAATGGGCGATTGTGAAAATTGTCCTTGTTTCTCGGAATGATCAGTTGTGTTTTCATTGTTCACATTTGCTAGTGATTTAATAGGATTCATCTATAAAAAGAAATTTGATATTGTGTTTATATATAATGCATTAAGTATAATAAATACGTAAAATGTGACTAAAAGATACATCAAACGAATAAGGTGACTAATTTGAATCATACTTACCACACCCAAGTCACCCAATTCAAACTTTGCGTTAGCAGAGGCAGATTCTCCGAATCGTTGATAGACCTGTGGTGGCTGTTCTCTCTCAATTAATGAAACAACCTCCTCTTCAATTCGGAATACATGGCGTAACGTGGATATTAAAGAATCTCGTGCACTGCCAAGAGTTCCTCCTTTAGTTTCGAAAATACTCGCCTGACGCACGTTTTGGCTCTGATCAAAGGCATCAGATCCTGTGATATTGGGATTTGTTGCCTCACAGTTATGATTTTCTTCGGACTCGGTAGAAAAGTTATTCTGTTCAATAGGCGTAAAATCGACATCTGAAAACGCCTCATCATTAAAATTTCCAACACCATCGTGAGAAGGCATTTGGCCGATGTAATCTTGGTTTACAATGCCTTCTGAGTCTTCTGCAGAGTGAGCGTCGTATTCCTGAGCCTGATATGGCTCAGAATCATTATCACTGATAAGTTCAGAGTTACTTTCGGATGCGGTTAGACCTTCTTCAGTTGGACTTAGGTTGTCACTGAGAACATGCCAGTCATCGTCACTGGAGGGATTACCGATTTTGCGGTCAAGAGACTTACTGGAAGAGCGGTCTCCAGGAAACACGACCCACTCTTGATCAGAACCTGAAGCTTCTTCTGAATCACTAGTTGCATAGTGAGTTTGAAATCGAAGAGGTTTCTGTTTGTAAGTCGCCATATTAAAAGTGCGGAAGAAGTGTGAAAGCGTGAGTTAGTTAAGAATGATAAAATTCGATTCACCCTGACACGGGTCACACGGATGGGGCAGATCAGGTTCTTATCCTGTTCAATTGTATTATAAATCAAACTAACGCTAATGATGCATGACTTAATTCATTCAAAAATGCTAATGCACTAACGGTAAATTTATGACGTGTTAATTTTGTGTAAATTATTTAAGGGTAGAGGGTATTATTTATAAATTATATACGTATAAAATTGATGGTACTTTGTTTTATTCTTTTAAATTAATCTTTTTATACTTCTAAGTAAAATTGTAGAGTAGGTTTTTCTGATTCTAACAATAACAAAATTATTATATTTGGATTAAAACTCGGCGAGATATAATTATTTTAAGGTTAGATAGTATAAATTGTTTACGAAGATCATATATCATATGACATCAATGTATCAAGAGTTGTGTTGTATATTGTTAGACAAATTAATTGTCCGGAGCGAAGCAATGCCGTTCCGTAACTACCCAACTCATGAAGAAATTAATCAACCAAATTTATCAACCTTAAGATCTCTGTCCTAATAGCCAATCAAGAATACAAAAATAGGAGTAGATTCTTATAATATATTTTATTGAATTAACTTTAGGTTAGGGTCATCTTATATTAGAGTTAGGTTAGGTTTTAAGTGGTTATATATAAGCAAATTACCCTCCCGACCAGTGTTTAAACAAATGCAGAGACTGCCGTTTCAAGTTTTTCGTTTTTATTTCTTGTTTTGCTTCGTCGGCGATCATCAAAATTCTATAATTTGATTGGTCATCTGTCACGTGCTTATTCTCCGCTTTAGACGACCCCCAAAAACAGGGGCGAACACAACGACAATAGCATATTTATGACCGATTACTTCAGGTATTTATAATTAAAAAGGAAATCTGTCGAATTCTTTCAAATTTATTCAATTATTGTTGGATAATGCGATTTACTATACCAATACGAACTACTTAATCTAACCCCAACACTAATATTAATCGATTTTAATTAAAAAATCGGAAAAATCGGGTAATCTCGTGATGTACCTGACTTTAGCTCATAGGATTGGCTAATGCAAATCAATTGCCCGGGTAACTTATTATATATTTTAGAGTACTTTTTAAGAACGCAACATTACACAAGTAACCATTCTTAACAAACATCGTCTTTAGCTTCAATGAGGTGCTAGAAAGCTAACTTTAAAAATAATCTCTAATTTAAGAAGGGTTGGCTTAGACACGACTTTCTGCAAGAGGTAAAAGAAAAAAAGCTACGTCTAAATTTTAAATGCACAAAACAAAAATAGTTATTAACAAAACGGTTGTCTCTTTTTTTAAAGCTTGAGATTTCAAATTAGGTATTTGAAACAAGATAAGCTTGTTCGTGTGAGAGATCTATGTTTTATATTTTAAGATATTCTTAAGTTGACTTGGTTTGTTAAAGCGCACGGGTTTATTAACTATAGATATATATCAACCTGGGTTTATAAATAGTAGGGTTAGTGATTCGAGATTTGTTTTAATAGTGAGCACCACTTTTGCCTTACTCTACATGCGTCTATCTATCTTTTATACGTATATAATCCAATAAATAACGCGTATTTGCCGCCGATTTATATGACATTTTTCTTTAAGTTTTCGCTTTTAGTACCGTAATATGATAAAATAATGAATTGCAAATTGTGTGATTTGATTGGCTGATAATCACATGTAGATCTACAAATTGATCTACAAAGCTAGCCAATCAGGCGTATACTTATTTCTGCAAGTTATACAAATTCAAAAAAAGGAAATTTTTATATGTAGATCGCAAGATCAGGTGCAATCTTTGTGTAACGTGAAATCAAAGGCTTTTAATAAAAAATTCCTGGCCAAATTTTACCTTATACCAACCTTAACCCTAATTCTAACACTGGTCAAAATTTCATATGTTTTTACCGAAATAAAAATGGGAGATTATACTAGGATCCTGAATAATACTAATAGAGGTTACATTAGCTCTAATATAAACTTTTTACAAATTTTATCCAAAATCTGCAACTCTGATTGGTTGAACCTTATTTTAACCAATCAAAGTTGCAGAAAAGTGGATAATGCAGCAATGTAACCTCTAATTGTATTGTTCGGGGTCCTGCTTAGACCCAAGAGATTTAAAATCTCATCTACTGTTTCAGACTATGATAAAGAGGAAAAATACTTCTCTATCAAATCTGACAGCAAGTTTAACATCTATTTATGCTTTAATATTCCAAAAACTCTTTTCTTGCAAAACTTTAATATTTCTTTCCTTAAAAATTCTCTTAACCATTTTGAAAAATGGTTTGAAAACTTCTTCCCACCTTACAACCATCAATTTGATGATTTTCTCGACAAAACTAAAGTTTACAACTCTCTCAAATATTAATTCCATCAACAGTTCATCTCTTACCTCAGAGAACTTGTTCCTGCCACTCTTAAATTCAACAAACCTAACAATTCATTAGAACGTCGTAAAGAAGCTATGAAACTCATCAACTACCACATAATGATCTGTTTAGACATTACTTGTTTTCATATGGAAAAATTAAAATCAAAAATAAAGGAAAAGAAACAGAAAATCAAACAACACAACAATTCACATTCAAACATAATTATATCAAATTGCTCAAAGCTACTCTTGAGCAATCATACATTAACCATTCGAAGCAACAACATGAATCTTGGCTACATCCTGATATTAATCTATCACTATTCATTATTGATGGAAAACATATAGCAACCTTTAGTAAAGAGATCCCAACTAAATTATTAGATGAACTTACTACTCAAACAGAAGACTACCCACTTTATGCCAACTGTTACTAAATGTCGCAACTACTACTTCTATGAACTTCTAACTGCATACCAACAAGCAGCTACAAAAAATCATCTTATTGATAATATCAATAAACAAAAAGCAATAGAAAACCTTATTACTAAACCTATTAGTACAGATTTTCTTGCTAGAATCATTACATACTTTGACACTAAAAATGAATCACTTAATTATCCTCAACTCGTCAAATTTTATAGAGAAACTGCCTATCCTGAAGTGGAAAAAATCATCCAGACAAAATTCAATATGTCCTACACCACATCATCCTCTATAGAGGAGTCTCTTTTCTTTGAAGAGACTTCTTTTTAGTAAATTTGTCTTCTACAAAACACATAGATGCAGCTGCCACCTTATCAAAAGAAACAACTGATGTATTTGATAAGGAAGATGATATAAGTGGGCAGGTGGTAAAGCTCATTTACACGGAGGACCACTTATATAAGGGTCAGACCCAACGTATAGGGCAGACTGTGGAATCCTGTACAGCTGTAAGAACCGAGCTTGAAATAGCAAATGACCTTGTAGAAAACAACTCTAATACTGGCAAATCATTTTTAACATCTTTAGACCCCTATGATGAGCCAACTCAACATACTAATAATCCAAATACAAATACTGCTTACACTAATGAACCACACATAATTACATACAATCTTAATATATGCTATAACCAAATCTTATTATCCCTCAATCTCCCTTAACTTCCATATCCTCAAACTATTAATTCTTTTATTAAACACCTCAAATCCTTCTACTACAACCTTGACAACATATACAACTCTTCATTCTACCTAACAATTAAAGAAGACTACAGCATTGCATAAGTTTATTCTAGATCTGAACATAGATTTGCACAACGTGGTTATTTTACAACACCAGTTGAAAGTTACAAATACTTTTCCTTCATTCCTCTCTTTACCTCTGACATCAGCTCCATTAAATCAGAAACTATTCCTAATTTGGTTAAAGATGACTGGACCTACAATCCATATTATTACTTTACACAAGATGTTTGTCTTAACCTTTATAATACTGAACACACTACTGATCCAAATCCAAAACCTCTTCCACATTCATCACATCTATGCTTTAACAGATTTCTCAGATACTATAACTTGCCAACATTACCTGAACCACAAACTATTATCTCATTTCTCAATCATC